CACCACCAGGCCAGTGACTGTCTGCTGGCTACTACCGGTCTAGGTCACAAGAGTGATTTAGATGGTCAGTGGCATGGTAGTTATTTTTGTTTATAATGGCAAGGACCTGCAGTCATACTACACAAGACTTACTAAACTGTCACTCTCCTGTAAGTTCAAATTAATTAACAACTGAAATGTTTGTATCTTAAGAATCATGCAGTATATATGAAATAAACACGCACATACGTTAAGTAAATGTTTGCTACTTTGTTCGACTGCAGCAATTCAAAATCATTTCAATGATCTGAACAAGTCACTGAACATGCCCTAAACGAGCCAGCTTCATTATGAAAATGCAAGTAACTTAAGCCAGTCAGACATTGTAAATTCACCTTGGAAATAATAATCATGAGACATGGCACTGCTTCTCACAAAGGAGACACCCAACACAAGCAAAATTGTTGAGCCAGTAGATACGTCGATACTTTAGTCTTAAGGGTATTTCTTGGTTCAACAGAGATTTCAGCAGGACCCAGAATACGACACGACCCACATTTATAACACCCTTTGTGTACAAGGCGAACAAGTGTGCCAAACAAGTAACACCATAAATGATATGAGTGTGAAACTTTTATAATCACAGATGACTAGCAAATGCCGATCATGCCTCAAACAATTGTTAAAGCAAATAGAGATTGTGAATGAGCCAGTTTTTGAACAATTAGCATAGTGCTATACATTTCACTTATGGACCGATAGACCTGACCTCTACAACTAATGGAACATGTTTGTATCGCCACTCATTTGTGTAAAATTTACAGTAAATGCGACAAAAATGTGACCACTGGATGTCACATGATTTGGGAATGAAAATGTTTAGTTTATTTAATCAAGAGACGTCATACTGTCACAAAGTCCACTGAATGAACAATCCTGTGCCAACTTTTCTGGTATCTCTATTTTAAATGGACAAAAATGGAGACTCAAGCAATACTACATAAGTATGGATTTCCTCAAATGCAAATGTGTTATATATATATATATATAATGTATGGTAATATTTTGACAGAATATCCATGCTAATCTTCATATATCAATCTTACATAATGCATTTGCTGCAGTCTGTAAGCCTGAGTTGGCAGATGGCAAAAAAGGTATTTGCTGGATGGGGTAGAGATTTTCAAGAATATTGAACTGTCTGTAACAACTAAATATTTGTTGATAGTGGAATAATGTCCTAATCATTTATAAAGTGACTTTGGGGTGAGCTCCAATCCAACGTAACTTTTTAAAAAATCAAAATTAGTAGGTTTTAGTTGCTTGTTGCTTGAGCAGCCAATCAATTATCCTTCCTAATTTTCGTAAATTTCCTGCCTAGTTTTATAAAGAAAGAAAATAGGGTCCTTTTTATTAAATGAAACAGAAGAGAAGTAAATAGCTCATCTTCTTCTTGACTAGCCATGAAAATAGGGTGTAGATTTACAGATTATATTGCACACTTTGTAATCTCTATTTAAATGCCACGGAGAGAATTGCCATTATTTAATTATTAGCCTTATCCTATACATATTTTATTTTTAAACTCGGTTAATAATCAGAATCAGATGAAAATGCATTAATAACAACAAAAGATGCATGGAGTGTACTTTTTTTATCTCTTATAAATTGTTTTTAATAGTTTATTTTTGGACAAAAAGATATTTGTCTTAAATAATGCTACTAATGAAATGATAATGACTAATGAAATAAGTAGATTTTTATAATTTAAAAAGTTTACTTTGTAATTGTAGCCTAGAATGAAAAAAAAAATAATAATACACTTTTCCCATGACCATTTGCATCTTCATCTTGCTAAATTAAGAGATTACAAGCATGCTGGGTCAATTTGAGAGATAGCACCCTGGCCGCCGTATTGGTTGCTACGTCTAGCGCACTTATGTCCTATATATATCTCTAACTAAACCTGAACCCTACATCTATTTCTAAACCTAACCTGAACCGTAAACTTATCCCTTACCTGGGTTTTGACCCTATCGGAGACAAATGACATCGGGGGTGCTATCTCTCCAAATTAGCCGCATGCTGATTGAATAAGCTTAAATTAGGCCCACTTTGACTATAATAAAACTATAACTATAAATGAAATAAGCCTTGCGCTAGCCTTAGGTTAGGCAATAAGGCCTACATTCTATAGTCGATATGATTCTGCACTTCACTAGTACTAGTATAATAATAAAATAGCCTATATAAATATAATATAAATAACTAAATAACCAAATTTCATTTTTGTCTTAGTTTAAGACCTGGGCTTACACTTTTTTGCCTAAATCATGTAACTGAATTTTTATTAAAAAATTGTATTAATATGTAATACTATTAGTCTTGATAGTGATGTAATTTTTAGTGGTGTCAATCAGGCAAGAATATAAAATATAATAACTTAGACTTATAATTCATTTGTAACTTAGAATTTTAAGTTTTCATAACTAAGACTACAAGTGACAACAAATGGACTAATCACCTACCCGCATGGCAGTGTAAAACATCTAACTGCCTATCCATGGCAGTGGGTTTTTGATTCTGAGGCATTCTAGGAGTTTCAAGGTACGTCGCTTTGCTCGTCTCGCGGGCTGCTTTCCGCTTTCGCTTGCTTGGCTGCTGATGACTGGTGATGGCGGGGCCTACGAAAAGACCATGTGCCTCTAAAATGATGATAAAAAGAAAATCATTTTAATTTTGATTGTGAAACTTCAAATGCTTACGGGATGTAAAATACCATATTTTATGCTTTAATCTATGTTACCATAAGTGATTTATACATTATAATAGCAAGAGTAAAGGAGATAATTACAGAAACTGATACGCTACAGCAGAACTGCGATCAAAGGGATATGACTGGTTTCCGGTTAATAAGGATACAAGAGTAATCTTTCCTGAAGTAAAAAAAAAACAAGAGAGGGAACTGTAAATAATATTATTTAAACAGTAATTTTCGAGTTATCCTCTTTTTTTTTCCGTAACCAAATTTAGTTTCCCAAACAGCCTTGGTCTGAATGGATGTGGTGGAGCTGGCCAGAGCCCTGCATGGGCTGCAACAACATTTATTTTTTTTTTCCCGCTAACTCACCACCAATATTTTTTCTAATAATGACGTGTTTGTATTTACGTTATATTTACATGCTTAGATTTACATGTAGGCCCACATTAAAGCTTATTTACAGAAAATCCCGAAAACACAATTAGATAAAGCCAGTGTCGTGGTTTAATAAATGCGGTCCGGAGAAAAATGCTCCTCTGTAACACGAATAATTTATGTGTCATATATTCCCCAAACTTTACGTTTGGCGGACGCCTGCACTGGCATAGGAATAGTGGGGCGCAGGGGGCGGTTCGCTCGAGCGGATCTTACTCTTTATAAACAGAGTGGCATTTCGTCCAACGGCATAGGGTTTTCCTACGTTAATGTTGAATTTAGCCATGATTTGTATCTTGTTGCATGCACTTTGAGGGGAATGATCTCCCTTGCAAATTAAAACTTCACAATAGCAAAGAGGGAGTTCAGGTTGAGAAGAGCTTAAAGTTCAGGGTGATGATGAGCATAAGGTTCAGGGTGTAGATGAGCCTAAGGTTCAGATTGAGAAGAGCTTAAAGTTCAGGGTTTAGATGAGTCTAAGGTTCAGATTGAGAAGAGCTTAAAGTTCAGGGTTTAGATGGGCCTAAAGTTCAGGGTGATGATGAGCCTAAAGTTCAGGGTGATGATGAGCCTAAATTTCATGGTGTAGATGAGCCTAAGGTTGATGGTGTAGATGGGCCTACAGTTCATGGTGTAGATGGGCCTAAAGTTCATGGTGTAGGTGAGCCTAAGGTTCAGGATGATGATGAGCCTAAGGTTCAGGGTGTAGATGAGTCACGTGAAAATAAGTGATACAAACTGGCATAATTTGGGACGTCGCAGGAGCCAAAATGTCTGGCACACTAGTGCTCTCCCCTTCGATCATGTCCAACTGTAATGTTGGAATCCCACATTTTTCCAAAGAAACAATACAGGAACTCGGGGTGCCCAGTTTACTAGTTTAGGCATGACCTTGTAATGCCAGAATTTTTTATAATTTTATTAAAAAAATATTTAATTTCGCATTTATTAAAAGTTTTATCTAGTAGGCTACCTACCGTCAATATTGATTAATCTCGAATTCTGAAGTTCGTTTTGAAACGGGAGTCATAGTGCATACTGTTCCTCCAATGACTTCCGTTGTGCTGACCACCATTAGGGGAACGCCTAAACTTACAACCCTCCCCCTTTTTTTTTTCACCCCCCCGCCCCCCACTGTAAGTCACAGGGAACATCAACTTTTTCATCATCATCATCATCAGTAGCCCTACAGCCCATGTAGGGCCCTGGCCTGCTCCACCACATCCTTCCATTCGGAGCGATCCATGGCTTGCCGCCTCCAAGCGCGAACCCTCAGCTGGTGTAAATCCGCCTCCACATCATCAATCCATCTCAGCCTGGGGTGACCTGTGAGTCGTCTGCTCCTTGGCTTCTGCCTGTATATAACTTTTTACCCTCACCATATTCTGAAGCAGCATCAGCGTGTAACATGTCATTTCAACAAGTCCATGCCATATTACACACTGTGAGGGTAAAATCTCGTTTTACAGTGGGTCCATCTGCAAAGAATATCCACAACTAAAGATTTATTACACGTTTGAACTCGGTTCATTGTGCAAACACGTTTTCCTTTGAGCGTGAAAGAGATCCACCAAAATATTTCTATAGCTAAAAGGCAGCGACAGCTCATCATGTTTTAGCTTATTTTACTTCTAACAGAATCTATACACCAAGCACATACACAGCATCATATGATAGTAATACTTAGTAATAGTAATGGTATCTGAAATCCTTGGGGAAATCTACAAGGAGTACAATTTTTAACAAACTAACAAAATTTAAAACAAATTAAGCAAGATTACATGGCTACTTTCACTACAATTATTTCACAACAAAGTCTTTTTTATAGAGTTGGGTAACAATCATTTATTGTCATTTTAAATAATGAAATGCTATGTATACATTCACACAAATACCGTAATACACAAAATGCCAGAACTTTGTAGACCCTCAATAGTTTTCGGAGGGGAATTTTACAAGCTTCATTTTTTTTTAAAAGTTAAATAAAAAAAAAAAATTAAAAATTAAAAAAAGGCAAGATGCCTGGAAAGAATTAAGACGAGATTGGGTATCAATACTTGAATATAATAGATTTTGTGCTCTGTGTTTAAAAGCTTGAAATTTGAATGTAATAGTTTTCTGTGTTCATATTAAAAGAAAAGGCTTCTGGGTCATAAGAACAGTAATTTTAATTTTAAGCCACACACTAACTTGTTTACTTAAAGAGCCTGATGTAGTTCGGGGACTCCGTTATTCCTTGGAGACTAGCCAATAGTTTTATGAAACAGCTACAGTGGAGATGTAGAGCCGATTTAGAGAACCCGAGGCCTCTTTTTCGGAAAAGAGAAAAAATTCTTGAGATTGTGAAGAAGTGTCAAATCATAGCTATGAAAATATTGACACAGATTATTATAGTTATATCTCTTAAAATAGGATCCAGAACCATCTACTTTACCGGCGAGTCCCTTTTTCTGTTTGTGCATACAGTCAGGGAGTTTGTTGAATGTGTCAATGAACATACAATCAGCTTGTTTGTTGAATGTGTTAATGAAAGAATAAACATTGGGATGTGCTTCAAATGTTTTCTTCAGTTTAATACTTGTTTAAAAATACGGTATCTTTTCAATTTAAGATATCTATTCCAATATAAGATATCTATTCCAATTGACGATATCCATTCCAATTTCTGTACACTTCTCTTAAACGCTAAATTATTTATTCCTAATGTGAAGCGGTTGAAAGTGGAAAGTACAGGAGCTCTGCATTGGTTAATGAGACCTGGTAGTAACTAATATAATGTAGTTAATGTCTCTTGCATGTTCACCAGTGGCCCAGAACACAATGGAACAATGTTTCCCAGTGTAACCCCTAAATACTTTCTTTACAAAATGTATTTTTATTTAATAAAGAAATGAAGAATAAGGTAAATGTTACTATAATGAATAAAATAAATGTTATTGCAGTTCAGCTCCACAGACAAGCCATCAGAAAAAATAATAACGTCAGTTATCTCTTTACAAAAGCACTTCTGAAGACATTAGAATCGACGACATGTTTTATCACAGAATGCTATCGGAAGTCTGCGATAGAAAAAGGGCAAATCCTGCCAAGTAAGAAAGTTAGTAAGTCTGAAAGTGAAGAAGCCTTTTCCCAACAAGAAAGCTTATTTTGTCTCTGAAATTCGCATCCGCTTTCTCCACCAAACTGAAAAATTAAAGACAAAACAATTTAACCATTTAGTATAAGCTTAATTTAGTAATTAAAAAACCCACACTAAATATTCATAACGCTAATTCAATTATAAACACTAAATATTTATTAAGCTAATTCATTTAAAATATAAATAAATATTCATTAAGCTAATTCAGTTAGAAAATCACTAAATTTTCAATAAGCTAATTTTTGTTAAAAATCATTAAAAATTCATTATGCAAACTTAAAAACTCTAATTCATTATGTTAATTTAATTAAATATTAATTATGCTAAACTCGACCTAATTTCCCATTAATTCTGTTATCACAATTAAGTTAGAGTCTATTATGATATATAAAGCTATTGATTTATTCCTAAAATCAAAAAGGAAAGCCATCTACAAAGTAAGCAGATGCAACATAACTGAGGGTCCAGCTACAGGAAAGGGAAACTAGTCATAAAACACACAAACAATGTGTTGAATAAGTTAGATGTAACATAACTGAGGGTCCAGCTACAGGAAAGGAAAACTAGTCACAAAACACATAACAAGTTTTAGGAGGTTGTATTGAATTGTTGGTCAAAGTTACCTGTGAGCCTTATCAGGATCTGTCTTCAGTGTCTGTATCAGGTTCATAATCTTCGGATCCAGAAGAGTAGCCATAACTTTAGGGTCCTCTAGCAATTCCTTGACCTGGGCATCATCAACAGGTGTAATCTCTTTAATGTCACTTTTGTCTCCAGGCCTGGGGCCCAGATCTAAGATTTCTTTTTCTGTCGACAATATGGATGTATCTGGCTTGGAGATTCCAGATGCTTTCTTTTTCACCTTTTTGGGAGAATTTCTATCCCCTCCCTCTTGTTTTATTTTTTTCCCCTCAGCTTTCGTAGACTTTTCCCTGCACTTTTCCAAATCGCTGTCTGGTAGTTCCACAATTTTGGGAATTTTTTTATTTTCCTCAGTTGCTGAACTGTTCCCTGAGATTTCAATGATCTTTGGCTGTGGCTTGACACTTTGAGTTGTTGAGACGCTTGGTGAGCTTCCAGGAGGTTGGGTAGCATTCAGATTTTGAGAACCAGCCGAATCAGCCGTTGGGGATCCCAGGGTTGTGAAGTGATCACCTGTTTATTTAAAATAAAAATCATTTTTGATCAGTGCAAACAGCATTTATGGTTTAGCTGTAATACCAGCAAGACAAACACTTTATAATTTTTTGTATATTGGTATATCAAGTTTATGGTTATAAAGTTTCACAAGTAGGCTTTCTTATCTAATAATATCAACAAGCAGTATCTGATTCTAAACTTGTGCCTTCCTACTAACACCCCACTCCCCCACACCAAATTATTATTTTTTCCTTCACACCACAGCCTCTTCATTTTTTAATGGGTGAACAGAAAAAAAGACAAGACATTTTTCAAGTGGTCATTGTCTAGATTGCGGCCTCTCAGTTGTTGATTTTTTCCCCCTCATGTTACATCCTGCCATTTTTTAGGGGGTCTAAATCTGCCTCAGTGAATACATATTTATTTGTCAATGGTGATAAACCTAGTATGGTGAAGAAAGAGAATGCTTATAAGTTGGTGACCAACCTAGCAGGGCACAGAAATCAAGTAAAAATTTCTCCACTTCTTTGTTGCTTTTGTATTTCTCCATAGCGGCTTGAGGGCTGGTCTGGAATTCCTGCAGGGCTTTCATGAAGTGTGGGTCTGCAAACCTTTTCAAGAGGAACTCATTGTTCTCAACTCTGCCCAGCAAGTCATCGTTTATCCAATCTGTGACAAAAATATTTGCGGCACACATTTAAAACATTGATTCTAAATTTCGATGTTTGACAAAACTTGACACATCAACATTGACACATTATCACTGACACATTAACATTGACACATTATTATGAAAAATTAACATTGAATCATGAACTGAGTGTTTGGAAATAAGTTTTGAAAAAAAAAACAACAGAAGTTTCAGAAATTTTTGATTGCTTAATATAGGCATAGGACAGCTGGAAACATTTGAACAATTTAGTGAAACATAACCAAACAAAAGCGGCCTCTAGTGGCAACTAAATCCTGTCGACTCAGATGAATTCTAGACACTGTCAATCCGAATCTAATTTACTAGATAATCATTAAAGCCCTACTTTTTGTCACTGCTTCCAGACCCTGGAGATGATTTATTACTTGCTGACAGTGTTAAAATAGACAATGTTTTCATGTCATATTTCCCCGTGAATGAACTCTAGCTGACCCAAGTTCGGTACCGCATTTAGGGTGTGGTTAGCTAAATATAGCCTCTCTTGACCTTGGTTACAACTAACTAAAATCTATGGTCTGTATTATTATTAGAATTCTGTAGAATTATGTAGATATTTTGAGAAAGGATTACAATGTGTAACTCCGTTCGAGAAGTATCTATGAATAAGGCTATATATATATATATATATGCCTAGAGAGAGTGAGCGACAGGAAGGAGACGAGAGATATTTTGAGAGATTGCTATTTTTGCTATAGAGCTTTGCTATATGAGACAGAGATTTGTTTACTGTGTGTGTGTAGATTCCTTTTCATCATTGTACCTTTTTACAACATTGTACCTTCTTCAATATTGTACCGGTACAAGCCAACCATTATTCTGTAAGTCAATAGCTTTGATTTTTTTTCTTTTTGATTTTGTAATTTATAATTAACATAATAAAATTGATCAATTGTAATTATCACATGGTCTCGTCTTTTGTTGTGTACTATTGTAGAACGAGCCATATACTTAAATAAGAGATTAATTTCTCCATACTGGTAGCAGTACGTAACAACAGACTTAACTGACCTGGATCTTGGGAAGGCAAGAATGGTCACAATGTGTATAGCCCAAAAGTTAAGATTTGCTAATGTAATGATCTGAGCCATTAAGAACATCTAACATGCCCCCCCCCCTCCCCCCAAAAAAAATTAAAATGAGAATGATAAATTTCTAATTAATACAAAGGTAAGCCTTACGTTAAACTTTATGATGTTAGGTTTGGAGGGAAATGAATGTTAAGCTACAGTTGAAAGTTTTTTTGTTTTGTTTTTTTTTAACAACATTAACTTTACATTCTATCAACAAACAATTTATTAAATAAATAAAACGTCTTAAATTAAGATCCATAAGGAGTGATTTTGATCACCACGATTGTTAAATAGCTTTAGCTGCCTTAAATGGTATAAAGTCTGCAAATACAGAAATAATCCCAGGTAGGGAAAGGATTTTCCATCTCATGATCTTACTCCAGGCATGCAAAGGATTTTCCATCTAATGATCTTACTCCAGGCATGCAAAGGATTTCCCATCTAATGATCTTTGGTCAAAGCCAACAAGCAAAATGGTTTTTATTACCTTGGTTGTCTAGAAGTCCTTTTGTTTCTGACATGGCCATTTGCACTTCATCTAACGTAAGTCCGGAGCTGGTTTTCCCCGTTGATGGGCTGATGAATGGAATATCTGTCTGAGCTTTCTCTACAGTTGGAGGTGGGACAGCCTTTGGAGGTTGGACAGCCTTTGGAGCGGATGATTTGACTGAAGTGGATGCAGCTGAAGGTTCTTTAGAACTACCCCCAAAGAGAAAGCCTTTCTTCAAGCCACCGAACATCCCACTGTTTGAAGTTTTTGGAGGAATTGTTGATTTGGTTTCTGGCACCAGGATTTCAGATGCATCTCCTGTGTTGTTTTGTTTCGTTACTTCTGTTGGGTTTTTTGAAAAACTATCCTAAATTAAAATGGATAATAGAAAACTATGGTGATGGATTATAAAAATAGTTATTGAATAGTTTTGTGGGATTTTTTTATCCATTATCTTTTAATTTACACATAACTAGGGGCAACAAAAAAATAATTAACACCTAAAAGTTTTTGATGGCACCAATTTTTAAAAAAAATGTAATAATCAGCATCAGACCAAGTTGGTACAAAAAAAGTTGACCAATGATTATTCTTCATCATGGTCATCAGTGGCACCACAGCCCATCATGTAGGGCGTGACCTGCTCCACCACATCATTCTGTTCAGATAGATCCATGGCTTTCATGCGTGTACCCCCAGCTGATGTAGGTCCTTATCTGCATCATAAATCCATCTCAGTATTGGTCGACCGATGGAATCTGCCTACAGATCACTTTTGCTGATCTACAATCTGGCAATCTTAGAGCAATTCTATGCATTCTCCATCCATCATTGTCCATCATATGGACCATATATTTTCCTGAAGATTTTCCTATCCAATGTATTGAGCAGGTTCTCAACTTTTCTGGTCAGGGACCAAGTCCAACTTGCATAAATTACAAATGTTCTGGTATGAAATAAAGTATTTGCAACAACAAAAAAATACTACATTTTGAGCTATTGTGAAGATGTGAGCTCATTTTACTCTAAAAATTAACCCATAGCACCCAAAGCATGTCATTTCAATTAAAATATAAGTGAACTTAGAATTTGCTGGCCGCACTGTTTAAGAATTGGGGTAACCAGAAAAACTCATTTAAAAATACTGCATATTATAGCACTGTATACTATAGTACTGTATATTATAGCACTTATACTACAGCACTGTTTATTAGAGCATGCTATGATTATGAATCATAGTACAATGTATTTGGTAAAACTCACCATTTGCACTTTGCCTTCATTGGTATTACCACTTCGCTCAGGCTGAACAACACGAGCTGAAGTGTTCTTTCTAACTTTAGCTCTCTCTTTTGCACTTGCAGGTTGAGATTTTGCTACATTGCTTTGACTTAGTATTCCTTCTCTCAGAGTTTCTACTTTCTTCAAAACCTGTGTCATATCCTCCAGAGGTGGAACATCTGAAAACATTATTCATTAACTAAGTAAACAAAAAAGATACACAATAATCAGGATAAATATATAGGCCTACGACTCATTTAATGACAGATTTGAAACTAGAATTAGTGACGTTTAAAGAATGCAAAACTCTTATATAGTGCATAGGTTTTTTTCTACATGCCATTATATAAGACTTAAGCTTCACAACAATATTATTAACTAGATATCTATTACTAGAACTAAGCTGAAGAAAACGAAGCAACTGGTAGCAAGTGACTGATCTCTCAACTAACCTTAAAAATGTTGAATTCATTAATAGACAATATTTATATATTATAATTTATTTAATTTTATTCCAAGATTTCCACAGTTTAGAGTTACTTTAAAAAATTTAATTTTAAAAATTAAAATGTGTTTCATATTTTCTGTAATGCTCAGTGAAGAATGGGAAAGTTATCACTCTCATGATTGTTCAGGTCTAACTGTTCATCCTGTCACCTGAAGTCCTAAGTCCAGTTTTGGGATTCACCAAAGTGACGTCAATGTGCTAAGGTGGCTTAGGGTGAGACAACTCTTACTCTTGACAAAACCCATGCCGCTAACTGCACATTTTTTTAACCTTTATATGTATATATCGTTGTCCGTCTGTCAAGATTGACAAGAACCATCAAGTCATCCGGTTAGTGGTGGGTCACCGTGAGTATGTGCTGGGTGGCCGAGCGGTCTAAACTCTAAGAGTTCAATCCCAACCAAAGCCAACATCCCAAGCACCCCGGGTGAATGGGACTCGTTGGCCTTGACGGCAACCCATCTAAGAGAAGGCAAACTCTGAATTTAAACCAGGAGCCAGAATGATCAGTACATATAAGACATATTGAGTGGGCCCCTCAAATATGAGAATATACTAATATAGCCTAATTTTTGCACTGAAAATACTAAGGGCAAATCCTTAGCCTTATAAGGATTTCTTTTTTTTCTTTTTTTTTTATTAGTCACGCATTTTAGCCGGCTAAAAAAAACTTGGTAAGTCATGGTAAGTCAAAGGACAACAATCAACAAGGAAAGTAAAAACCGAAATGTTAATAAAAATATTAACAAAATTCTTATGAAGAAAACATGGAATAATGTTAGAGCCAAAGGCAAGGTGAAACGTTTGTATAGAGCAAAGGCTGTTCAGTGGTATACTAAAGTAACCAGATATTGTCAACAATTAAATAATTTAAAAAACAAACTTTAATTTGAACAAACCTGAATCGTCCGCCATTTTGACGCAAGTTGGTTACCTTGACCCTTTTTGTCCAGCCTTGAGATTTAATGATCTATCATTTATTTTTTATTTCGCAAAATTAACTGCCTTCACCGGTGTAAAAATAATTATTTTATTTTAATGCGCCTTTCTATATCACCGCCACTGTTCACAAATTTGTTAAAATATTGTTGTTAAAATGACTAAAATAATTATTATAAATAAAATAGAGGAATCAATGGTTTTCAAATGAGGACAGCCATACAGATTTAATATTACATTTAAATAACGTGTCTGTAAATTTTAATGTCCGTAAGAGTAAGAACTTTAGGATGTTTGTAAAAAAAATGTAAAAAAAAAAAAAAAAGACTTTTACATTATTATTAAAGGTTCGTGATATCTCAACCAGGGATTTGGAGCGGAGCTGGAGCTGGTAACATTTCTTAGAATTTCTAGGCACTCCCAGTCCAGAAATTTTAGTTTAAAAAAAAAAGATAATTTTTGTAATATAAAACAGTATTACCAGAGCTTTAACTTTTTTAAAATATTGAAATTGATTCCTTACTCTTCTACCAGCTATTTTGCTAAACTCTTCTGATAGTATAATGTCCCAATCTTTTACAGCTATGTTGCCCCACTCTTCTACCAGCCATATATCCTCACTCTTTTATAGCTACGTTTCGACTATTCTTCAAATAGTTATGTTGCCCCCACTCTTTTAGAGCTATTGAGCCCACTCTTCTAGCAGTTATTCCCCCCAACTCTTCTACCATCTATGTTGTACCAATCTTTTACAGCTATGTAGCCCCACTCTTCCCCCCAACTCTTCTACCATCTATGCTGTACCACTCTTTTACAGTTATGCTGTCCACTCTTTTATAACCATTCTGCCCCACTCTTCTACCAGCTATTTTTAATTTTAATTTTTTTTTTTTTGGTTGAAAAATTCAAAAATTAAAGGGTGCAGCTTAGCGTATTTTAATTCGTGTTTATTTCAGGAAATTTTATCCCGGGGAGGGGACATTTCAGGCGTAGGTTGGGAGAGGGGGGGGGGGGCAAGGTATCACTCAGAGTGCAAATTATACATTTTGGCACCTGTGCCAAACATAGCCTGAATTTAATGCGGTTGTGGCACGCCCCAGGGTATTCTTTTGGTNAAATTTTGTGACGATGTGTGACCGGGGGGGGGGTGTTAAACAAAAAATGCACGTCATGGACCCAAATTACAGGCATGTTGAGCTTCATTCTTTTAAGCCATAATTCTAATGATTTTATGTTTAAACTGCGATCACTGAGAGCATCAGTACAGGCATGGGGAGGTCGGACAAATGGAATCTGAACACGTCACTGGACGCCTCGGTGGAGGAGGGTCGGGATGTATTGACAATGACAGTTGTGAGTATTTAGATCTAAAATGTGGATGTGGAGACGCATCCGGGAATTTTGTTTGAAAGAAATTTCGTCGACGGAAAATTAATCGACGGAAGTCTTGATCGAGCGGAAAATGGATCGAGCGAAAGTTTGGTCGAATGGAAGTTTGGTCAAATTTTTTTTTTCAGGTCACACGATGTCGTTTTACGCAAATTTCTTTTTGAACGCATTATTTTCTTTTACTATGTAGTATATAGCACAATCTCTCAATTTCAAAACATTTTCAGTAACCAGACACCCCACCCACCCATAACTTATATTGTAATAATTTTTTAAAAATTATAATTATAAAATAATTTAGCCATTGTCATATTATTTCTCTAACAAATTTCTAGAAACAATATGAATGCTACTAATACAAATTATGCGCAAACAAAAATCACCACAAAAACATTTACTGGTGCTAATCAAAATACATATTTTTTTTTTTTTTTTTTTTTAAGGCAACAAAAACTAAAATTTCTAGAAACAATATGAATGCTACTAATACAAATTATGCGCAAACAAAAATCACCACAAAAACATTTACTGGTGCTAATCAAAATACATATTTTTTTTTTTTTTTAAGGCAGCAAGAACTGGCAAGGGCAGCAAATACAATTCTCTGGGCTTTCGGCATCTCAGGGGGTTGATCTGACCTCTAGTTGAGAACCACAGTTCTAGGAAATGTTTCTGGCACAGGTGCAATTATGCGAAATCCAATGGAGGTGAATTTTTTAAGCGTTTAATAAGGGGCCGTCCATAAAGTACGTCACGCTATTTTTGACCATTTTTACCCCTCTCCCCCTGTCACAAACTGTCACAAATCTCGCCCACCCCCCTTCTAAAGTACGTCACACTTTCGAACAAATTTCATTAAAAATTAACACCTAGTTAAAATTTAATCTAAAACACACTTCACTATTAAACTGTATTAAAATATTAAATTTCCACTTAAAAGAACAATTACATTATTGAAATTACTTTAATAGTTGAATAGTTAATTGTCAACAGTTGTCACAGTTATTCATTGAAGCAGTAACTCAATCTAGATTGAATTTGAAAACAAAAATTGCAAAAATTAGACTAGAAAATTATATAATACACGTCATTTATCTGCTGCTTTTTCATTTACAAGAGGGTGAGGTCAAGTTTTAGATAATTTCCGATTATGCAATCTTTTTACATAGGATAAGAAGTAGATTACCGAAACTTGACCGCACCCAGGGATTAAATAATAAAAAGGAAACAAAACAATTTAACTAAAAAAGACTAGATTGACAAATTATGTGACACACTCTTGTGCTATATTGAATATGCAAAACAACTTGTTGCATTCAAAGTTGCTTTTAGACAACCTTCACAGTTGATTGCATATAGCGTAGCTCTTTCACAGTTGATCACATTCAACATGCAGTGGCGAAGCAAAAGGGGGTGGGGAGGTGCAAAGTTGGTGGCCGCCCACCCTGGGTGGCATTTTTTTTCCTGAAAATGGGGGTGTGTGTGGGGGGGGGTCGGCATTTTCAGCCAACTGTAGAGAGGTTTTTTTTCCTTGAAAAGGGAAATTCTCCCCCCTTCCCGAGCGTCAACAACCGCGGTTACGCCCCTCGAAACAAGCAATAATTATCTCTATGCTATCTGCACCACATTTGTGTATTTAAAAAACACACAGAGACTTGTGTTTAATATTTTAATTCCATGTCTGTCATTAGTTTAAGTACTTGAAAGTATCGGATTTAAATTGAGTACATATCACGACAGCGGTCAGGTTTAAATTCCTGGTTTAAATTCAGAGTTTGCCTTCTCTTAGATGGGTTGCCGTCAAGGCCAACGAGCCCCATCCACCCGGGGTGCTTGGAGTCCCATCCACCCGGGGTGCTTGGAGTCTCATCCACCCGGGGTGCTTGGAGTCCCATCCACCCGGGGTGTTTGGAGTCCCATCCACTCGGGGTGCTTGGGATGTTGGCTTTGGTTGGGATTGAACTCTTAGAGTTTAGACCGCTCGGCTACCCAGCACATACTCACGATAAACGATCTTGCTGGCTGCCGTCCATGGTTTGCCTTGCAAAAGTTATGTGGTGGGGTGGGTGAATATACATTCCTGTTCTTTATTTCATAAATGTATTTTATTTTAATGTCATGATTATGTCTCTTTTGATAGCATTTTTATGTACAGCGCGGTGAGCCCAGCCCTAGGCTGATGATCTTAGATGGTCCTGTTTCCCAGGGATCATCCTGTTCCCCTGAGATGGTCCTGTTCCCCTGAGATGGTCCTGTTCCTCAGAGATCATTCTGTTCCCCAGAGATCATCCTGTTCCCCAGAATCATCCTGTTCCCCTGAGATCATCCTGTTCTCCTGAGATCATCCTGTTACCCTGAGATGGTCCTGTTCCCAGAGACCACCCTGTTCCCTTGAGATGTTCCTGTTCCCCAGAGATCATCCTATTCCCCTGAGATGGTCCTGTTCCCAGAGATCATCCTGTTCCCCTGAGATGTTCCTGTTCCCCAAAGATCATCCTATTCCCCTGAGATGGTCCTGTTCCCCAGGGATCATCCTGCTCCCCTGAGATGTTCCTGTTCCCCAGAGATCATCCTGTTACCCTGAGATGGTCCTGTTCCCAGAGACCACCCTGTTCCCTTGAGATGTTCCTGTTCCCCAGAGATCATCCTGTTCCCCTGAGATGGTCCTGTTCCCCTGAGATTGTACTTTTTCCCTGAGGTGGTCCTGTTCCCCAGAGATCATTCTGTTCCCCAGAGATCATCCTGTTCCCCAGAGATTATCCTGTTCCCCTGTGATGTTCCTGTTCCCCAGAGATCATCCTGTTCTCCTAAGATCATCCCGTTCTCCTGAGATCATCCTGTTCCCCTGAGATCATCCTGTTCCCCTGAGATGGCCCTGTTCCCAGAGATCATCCTGCTCCCCTGAGATGTTCCTGTTCCCCAGAGATCATCCTGTTCCTCTTAGATCATCCTTTTTCCCTGAGATGGCCCTGTTCCCCTGAGATCATCCTGTTCCCCTGAGATGGTCCTTTTTCTAATATCCTCCCTATTCACGTGACGATCTCTAAATTTGGGGACGAGACTTCCACTGTGTGAAGAGTGTGAGAGTGTGTATGTGTGTGATGGAGAGAGGGAAAGGGGGCTATAATTAAGATTTATTATTATTTTTGGGCTCTTTCACAGAATGAATGAAAGTATCGGGGGGGGGGGTTGATACCTTAAGTTGGGATTGAATGTACCTAGTGTTCGGGGCCAATGTACCAATGCTATACGTGCTGGTCCAATGCTATACGTGCTGTACCAATACCATACGTGCTGTACCGCTACCATATGTGCTGTACCACTACCATACGTGCTGTACCACTACCATACGTGCTGTACCACCACTATACGTTTATTTAGTAAAAGAAATTCTTTATTATCATTTGCATTCTACTTGAGCTTCATTGTTAAGGAACCTCGAGATTTTACTTCACCTTACTGATGCAGGCATTTTATCTCACCTGACTGATGCAGGCATTTTATCTCACCTTACTGATGCAGGCATTTTATCTCATCTTACTGATGCAGGCATTTTATCTCATCTTACTGATGCAGGCATTTTATCTCATCTTACTGATGCAGGCATTTTATCTCACCTCACTGATGCAG